CCCTGTCCTGGAGGTTAATGTCTGTGCAGGTTAACTGTCCTTCTTTGTAGGCTCTCTGTGGGATTTATAACCCTGGTTGCAGAGGATTTCAAATCGTCCAAGGTACCTAAATGAGTATAGCAGATGCCCAGTGGCTTATATTTGCCCTCTAATGGTGATGGAGACAAGCAACAGGAATGTGATGGAGGAGAATGTGGCTAACAAGCACAGTCTCACTCCCCCCTGCAATTCTAATCATGTAGGGAGTGAATGCCCAAAGAAGGTCTATAACATGATTAATTATTGTGCTGTGGGGAAGAGTAGGATCTACTCTCCATCACTAGAACTATGAAAATGGAATATATGGCATAATTATTAGTAGGTCACTCGCAAGAATACAATTCCCAGTCAGTACAACAAATGGCCACTTCCAAGCTTATGGCCAGTGATTATCCAGGCTGCAAAGAGCATTTTGAAAAAAGTAATCTTTTTCCAGGAGAGCCAGCATGGCATAGTGGTTTGAGTGTTAAACTATGACTCTAGAGACCAGGGTTTGAGTCCCAGCCTGGCCATGAAACCCACTGGTGAGCTTTGGCAGGTCACATGCTCTCAGCCTCAGGAGAAGGCAATGGCAAACTTCCTCTGAACAAATTTTGCCAAGAAAATCCCATGATAGATTTGCCTTAGGGTTGCCATAAGTCAGGAATGATTTGAAGGCCCAACATACACACACAATCTTTTCCAAAACTATTTATGTAGACAGAGATTATAGAGATAGCAATTTTTGGATGTCTATACTCACTCATTACTTTGTATGTTATTTTATAGGAGCTTAGGCAAAGTCTGTTTGTTTGTTTGTTTTTCACACTCTTTTCCTCCCTGCATTACACTAACTTGCAGCTGTTTTTTCTCTTCTCCATCAAACTATGCATTTGATTATACACAAATATGGTAAGTAAAGCTGCGACTATATGTTTTACATGGTTTGGGTCCAGGTTACCTACAGGATCACCGCCTCCCATACAATCCACCGGGTACACTCAGGTCCTCTGGCAGACATTTACTCCAGTCAGCCAGGACTAGGTTGGCAACTGTCAGCCAGAGGACTTTTTTTTCAGCTGTTCTTAGACTTGGAATGACCTGCCGGAAGAGATTCAACCATTGAATACATTGTCCAAATTCAAAAAAGCATTGAAGACCAGTTTCTTCTAGAATGCTTATTCAGATGATTTTTAAATTGTGAATTTTAGATGACAAATTTTAAATATGGATCATGTTAATATGTGTATATGCTATTTGTCATTTTAAATTGATGTGTATTTTAACATGTGTTTTAACTCATGTTGTTTATCTGTTCATTGTTCTTGTTCCCCACCTCAATCCAGTAAAGCAAGTAAGAAATTGTTGTTGTTGTTGTTGTTGTTGTTGTTGTTGTTGTTTAAAAAGCAGACTAAGCTTATTCCTTTTCTCTACTGGAAAGTTGCTAGAAAAGAGAGGGTAAAGCAAACAAACAAGCAAACAAATAAGCATAAAGTCATCAGAGATATGTACTGTGCCTAAATCCCTGTAAAATAACTTGCTAACTAGCAATTCATGAGTATAGTCATACACAGGTGCAAACTCTTAACACTCTTTCTTAATTGTGCATGCATTCTCGAAGTCCCATCTTGACTCACATATTTTCAAAGCAATTTATTGGTTCAGACTGTCAAGGAAAAAGCAACATGGGACATACAGTAATAGAAATAAA